GTGTACGGCAGGGATAGGGATAGGGATGGGGGGGGGGACAGGGACGTGGGATGGGGACAGAGACAGGGACACGAGGCTGCCGGCAAGAACACGGGCTGGGGACTCGGAGGTGGGCTGGGGACAGGGACATGGAGCTGGGGCCAAAAATACAGGCTGGGGGAGAGATACGAGTCTGGGGGCCAGGGGACATAGGGCTGGGGAGAGAAACAACCACTGGGGACAGGGTTACAGGGGTAGGGAACAGGGACATGGGCTGGTAACACTAGCACGGGGCTGGGGACACAAACAAGGGCTGGGGACAGACGGACGTGGCTGGAGCAGAGAGACAATGGTTGAGGGCAGGGACATGAGCTGGGGACAGAGACACGGGGCTGGGGACAGGGATATACACTGGGGAAGGAACACGGCTAGGGACAAGGGACAAGGACAGAGGCCAGGGACAGAGATATGAGGCTGGGTGACACGGACATGGGGCTGGACAGGAATAATGGCTGGGGACAGTTAATGGGGCTAGGAACAAACATACAGGGCTCAACCACAGGGACAATGGTTGAGGACGAGGACATGGGGCTGAGGAACAGAGACGTGGGCTGGAGACAGGAACACAGGCTGGGAATGGGGACCTGGGGCTGGAGACAGGGACATGGGGCTGGCAACAGGAACACAAGCTGGGGACAGGGATGTGGTCTATGGCAAGGATAAAGGGCTGGGACACAGGAACATGGGCTAGCATTGGTGACACAAGGTTGGGGACGGGACAGGAACATGGGGCTGGGGAGGGGGATATGGGCTGGGGTCAGTGACACAAGACTGGGGACACAGACATGCACTGAGGACAGAGACATGGGGCGATGGGACAGGGCCATTCCCTGTCTGTGGGAATGGCTGTGGACAGAGAATGGGGCTAAGGACAGGAAATGCAGCTGGGGACAGGAACATGGGGCTAGGAACAAGGACGTAGGGCAGAGGACAAGGGTACAGGCTGGGGACAGAGGTAGAAGGCTGGGGAAAAGGAACATGGAACTGGGGAGAGGAACAATGACTGGGGACAAGGATATGGGCATGGCCTTTGGGACAGACATACAGGGCTGCAGCACGGGGACAACGTTTGAGGACAGTGATACAGTACTTGGGGATAGGAACACAGGCTAGGGACAGGGAATGGGACTGGGGGCAAGGACATGGCACTGGGGGACAGGGATATGCAGGTGGCCATGGGTTCAGGCTACAAGGGGATAGAGATGAAAGGAGCTATGGGGGTGGGACACAGGGCCAGTGGGGCTGGAGTGCAGGGGGACAAGCGGGCAAACAGGGCATCATGTGGAGAGGGGATGGGAA